TAAATCCTTGATTATACTACTTTGCAGACACTCACCGGAGCAGCTGCTTACACCACAGAAGCAGAGCTGTTATTATTATACTACTTTGGAGTCCGCTTGAAGGTCTCCTTTGCATACATGCTCAGCAGACGGCCGTCTACATATTCTGAGCATGCACACCACCACCAAGGATGCACACTGCTGCCCTTGTAGCATAATCTTTTGTCGGGACGCAAATTTTGGGCTGCATGGGCATTTTCACAGACTTAGGTAGATGACAAAATTTACATCACTCACAGACTCTCGCCTGCACGGAAAGTATAACACTAATCCCAGTTTAATAAAACAGCGTAGGCGTCAAGCGTGGCATGTTCAAGCATACCAGCTCCTTTTCACACGGATGTCAATTAAGCTGCGAGTGCCTCTGCTGTTGGTTTAAAGGTAAAAACAATAGCTCTCAGTCTGTCTCCGTGCCTTTAACATAGAACGGTAAAGCAAAAAGAAAAGCACAAGAACAAGCTGTGGTGGCTGTTTGAAAGCAGCTACTGATTTCAACATAATGGCAGTTCCCAACTACCAAGTCAGACCCCCTTCTTAAAACTCAACTGGAGCACAAAAACATTTCAAAGCAGCAGAAAGAGGACATACTTGTCGTAGAGGATCATGGCATCATTTTGAGCCTCCTGGCCGTCGTACTGGCCCTTCTTAGCTGCTAGCTGGTTCTGGAAGTTGTCTGCTGCCAACCAGAACTGCAGTACATTCATTGCCTCTTCCTTTTCCATGTACTGTGGGGGAAAGAGATACACAAGAGAGGAGAACATTCAGATCAACGCACTGTGTGTTTTTGCAGCGTTCTTCAGCTCGAGGTCTTTGTGTAATAGGGTGAAAATCTGCTGCTAAGTGTTTGCTCTAACAACCGCTGGCTTTCTTTGTTATGTTTACTGTGTCCTCAGTCTACTGCCTCTGAGAAGAATTGTATAATAAGGAGTCAATAAGACACATAGAGTGAGTGTGTATGTGAAAAAAAAATTAGAAATGAGCTGCCAGAAAATAAACAATATTTTAGCAACCGCTGGGGCCACTCACCTCAGAGAAGTAGAAGAGAGCTGACTCACAGAACAAGATGTCAGCCAGGAACACAGAGCCACTAGTCAACACTTCAATCTGGTATTTACAGAAATGATGGCTCCGCAGGAATTCACTAAAGTGCCTGGAAATCAAAGAGCATGTGGGAGGTGAATGGAGCTGCTGCTGTGGATGTTGAGATGGCAAAATGACAAAGGACACAGGTTGTAGTTTAATCTTAACGTCAAAACATGGCAACGTTTCCTCCCTTGTGGGAAAGCAAATGGGAAGACAGAAACTCACTGTTGTTCCAAGATGGTGAACACGACAGACTGTGCAATGACAAAGCAGTTTGGGTCCACCATGCCATCTTCGCCACATATTTTAGCTGTACAGAGAAAAGACGGGAATATCAATGCACAAGACGATACCGGTTGAGACAGAAGACTTTCAGGATTTATGAATGCAACCAGATCACAGATTAAACCGAGGTACAAGTATTTATAATATTGTTTAAAGTCCTTAGTGTCCTTGGGCTCTTTTATACGTCTTGCCTTGCAAAATTATCACCTGGGCGGACAAAAAGGCAAAAAACACATTTTTGTGCAGTATTATAATAACACACAACATCTGTGTCTTACCAACTATGTCATTTCTGATCTGTTCCGTGATGGGAATGGGCTTCACGGCATCTGGAGAGATGTACTTGGTGAAGATGGTAACAGCATCTTTCTCTATACCTGGAAAAATATGGCACTATTAGCTCATCATCCGGTCATACTACAACAAAGATACGAGTAATGAAAGTCAACAAAAAGAGACTGGAAAGGTTAGGTTCAAGGTTTTTTAAAATCCATCTCAAACCAGAATTGACATACCGCTACGTACACTAATGGTGGTGGTAGTTGTTCCAATCAGACGGCCTAATTGTGCATCGTGTCACTTTATTTGACTGAATAATTTCAGGTCACTGGTGACAAATGAAGCAGCATCACAAAGTGCTTCCCCACCATCTCCAGCTAAGAGTCAACTGTGCATTTCCAACTACTGGTGTTATTAGAAAATCAAAAGCTGGGTGCATCAAAATAAACAGCTAATCATGTTGTTCATGTGCCATTAAACCACCGGAGAAACTAAAAGATGACACAATTTAAAGAGCGCCAGTCAAACCTTAAGTGTTTAAAACCTGATGAAGTATGGCAGCAATGTAATAATCTGAGGAAGGTTACAGTCTCCTCACACGGATCTGATGCTTCATCTTTTCATCTCTTCAGTGAATGTCTAATGTAGGTCATGATTTGTTCGCTAAACCAGTCTCCACTGCACTTTGTGGTATTTTCTTTTAATATATTTATACCAACTCTCCCACCTCAGCCAAGCATAAAAGCATTTTTATTTTTTTTACAATATTTTTCTGAATTTTCAGCATTTCTACTCAGGCGTCTCCATGTGTGCACATTGAGAATGCTCATAAAAACAGGTGGGTGAAAATGCACTAAATAGATCTGAAGGAAACCTCATCAAACTTTCAATAATTCTAACAATCCGGTTGCCAACTGACGCTACTAAAGTACTGAGAATCCTCACTTTGAAAGCTGCCTTTCATAATTATTTTTCAGTCTATTAAAAAGGTGGTTTGTTGACTATTAGAGCATCTTTAATGAATTATGTAGTCCACTGTGTAGAAATGTAAACAAATATATACATGTTGATTAAAGCAGACTTACTTTTCATGAGTTTGTCGGAGAGGTCTCGCAGGGTGCTGTTTGACTGCACCTTGTAGGGAGTCCCTGTCCTGGAGGGCGTCTGCCTGCTGGGGGTTTCTACTCGAGGCGTACTGGGTCTCAGACCTACTTCTGCGCTAGAAGAGTCCCGCCGCTCAGACGGCACTGTAGCGCCTTCACTGCTAATGTGCCGGGCGAGGGGATCAGCTGCGTTCTGAGGGAGCTCCGAGCCATCTGCAGAGACGGGGACCGGCTCGGCCAAGGAGCTGTGTTTGACAGAGTTGAGGCTGTGCGCTCGGACACGCGACCAGCTGGTGGAGCGGAAACTCTCGGCCTCCAACCAGAACCGAACCAGGTGGTCGGCGCCTTGTAGTTCCGTGAAATGCATGTAGTGGGGCATCGCCACGTTGTCCCGGAGGACCTGGTCCACCGTCTTGGACAGTCGAGAGCGGGTCTCCTGGGGCTGGTAGTTCACACTGGAATGACCTGGAACATGCGAGTACACCCAGATAAGCAGTCAGATTAGCACAAGAGTGTGTAGGATTTAAATATACAGGTTTTAGTTTAATTTTAGAGATTAATGCTATTTTTCTGTTTTGCATTCTAGGGCAACTTCTTAATCAAAATATAAACATACCTTATATAACACCATATTTCCCTTTATGAGGGAATTTTGACTTACAAACCGGCAACACCACTTGACATCACATGCAATCTTAGCCAATAATTTGAAAGCTGCAGCACACAGAAACCTGGAAAAAGCAAATAAATTGCCCTAATTTCCTCCTGCACCTCTCCTCTCCCTGTCCTCAGATGACCAAAGGCATATGCAAGCAGTTTAAATGTGCTAAATTGTCGAGCTAAAACTTTAATTTCTGTCTTCTAGGGCTTCAACCCGAGTCTCCTCCCAGTGTGGACTTAATCGATCTTTGCACTGTCTCATCAGATTTGGGTAAAAAGATCTGTGATAGGCCAAAACTCCAATCACAGACCAGATCTTCTAAAGCCTGAACACGGAGCCAAGAGGAGCTAGTTTCCTCTCAGCCCACTTGAATTACATTACGGTGAAAGATTAGTATTAAATTTTTCCCCAATGATGCCAAAAAAAACAAAAAACAACCCTTTATGTATTTTTAAAGACTCAGCATTCTTGAAAATACTGTTAGTGTTATTGACATGACTGACTTTGATGATTTACTCTGCCTTTCAGCACACGTTTAAAGCTGAAGTGCTCGACTTGAATAACAGGCCGAGCGCTACGCTTTCTTTTATTTACACATTTCAACCCAGAAGGAAAATAAAAAATGTGGAGTATATTGGGAGCCGCAACATGAAAAGAAAAAAGTGGATTTTCTGTGTTCAGCTCCTATTTCAGCCGAACGCTTGGTCCAGGCTTGAAGGGTGACGTGTGCTGAATTTAAACTCCTGGATATTTGTTTTGAAGTCTTGTGAATTTCCAGCAGCTCTCTGTCTGTCTTGTGGTGGCCTTAGACTACGCAATTTCACAGATGATTTAACCCAGACAAACTTTTCACAATCGTTTGTCAAAAGCATCTGTGTGTCCTGTCCAATCTGTCATCCACGCGTGTACGAAGTGGTCAGCAGTGACTGTGGCATCTGCGGCAACCTCTGACAGTCCAATCACGCTAAAACTCCAAACTCCAGTTACATCTGAACTCTGGAAAAAAAGAATCTGACTCCTGCAAGGATGCCACAATATTTGACTTCACGATGTTTCGGAGACTGTCTGTTTGAGGAACATCCTCCATCCTGTGAGACTGCGACTACAAACACACGCACTCTCCAGGAAAGCAAAAATAAACGAGGGAGCGTGCTCATTGACTACAAACCTGACTCTTGCTGGATTATGAATCAGAGCACATCAGCTGTAGTTACACTGACGCGTGGGCTGAGGGCTTTGTGATGTTATGTTTGCTCTTTGAAAACAAGATGGTGCTTCAAGAGGTGCCACGCAGTGTGAGGCGCTTTTCAATCAAGCTCTTCAGATTCTTTAAGATCACACGGTCACGGCCACCTTAATGCTGAGAGCTGTCGAGAATCACAACAACTAGTGCGGCATCTGTGTCGGCATCGTTATCAAAGGCTCCTGCCTCATTTGCATATCTTTTCAGAGCAAGTTAAAGTCTGTTACAATGCCCCGAACATGTGCTACATCTGCTTCACATGCTTTCAACCTCCGTCAAAACGCACAAGGGAGATCTCATGTGTGTTCGACATTCTGACTCCTGCTGCCAGTCACGGCTAACATTGACTCCAACCCTCCCTGCCTCTTGGAATCCTCCTCCTCCTCTACTACTACTTCCTTTCTTTCTCTTCCTTCTGTTTAAACCACTGCCCAGAAGTCTGTGGCGTCTGCTCAGCTCCATTCTGGTTTTGCTGTCTGGGCTGCAGCACAGGTTCTTCCACCTCCGTCTGACTCACCCCAGCTCTTCTACAGTTCCTGTCACCGCTGTCGCTCAACGCGCCGGCCGCACTACTACACATAATCACCGCCCCGTATCATGGCGTCCGGCAATCATACGCAGAATCTAATTATAGAGCACTCTGGACAAAAAAAAAAAAATCGGGGAGTGGTTCTTGGCATGAGGAGATGAACTGTGAGACTAATTTCAACCTGGCGGGGCCTTTGGAATGTCTGGATGCTCTTCAGAACGGAAGCGCAACGTCATGCGAGCGTCTCACAAAGGATTAAAGACGGGGTGTGTTGCCCTTTGCACAAGACAAGAGGGATGTCTAAGGCATTTCGGTGATGTAAGTGTTACACTCAGGCATGTCGTAGTGACAGCCACAGGAACGTAATTACACCAACAAGATTACATAAGAGCTTTAAACTTCGTAGTAGTACTTATAACTTCTTAGACATTGTCGAGAGTTTATCATTTTAAAGAATGTGTACTTGTTTTTTATTTGATTTCTATGTTGTGCATTTATTAATTAGTAAACCCTGCAAACAATCTCATACTACATATTATTCTTCTTTGCCTGCTGACATTGTTGGTTTCAGTACATCTACCCTGGTTCTTATGTGGGCTGCAATAAAGTCGATTCATCAATTAGTCGATCAACACAAAATTGATAATTATTTTGATAATTAACTACTTGTTTCAGTTACTTTTCCAGCATAAAAGCAAACATTTTCTAGTTTCAGCTTCCTAATTGTGAGAATTTGTTGGGTTTTTTTGTGACTTAACACAAATATCTTTAGTTGTGGGAGTGCTGACCAGTTAAAACAAGGCACCTGAAGGCATCACTTGAACTCTGATAAATGGAAAAGGGTGTTTTCTAATATTGCCTAATGATGATTGAAAAAAATTGAAAAAAATAACTGATCAGAGATGAAAATAAACAACAGCTGCAGCCCTCCTATTATTGCTCTGTTTCTGCATTTGTTGCTGCAAAAAGTCTAATTTTAAGTTTAACCAAATTGTGGTCAAATTACTGTAAATTAAAGATGATCAAAAGGTGCATGTAGTAGTAGCCTGATCTACCAAAATACTAAACAGTAATATGCCATCACCTTTAAATTGTCTGACAGGTCACAGAGCAACAATAAATAAATGTAAGATAATAGCACACTCCTGAACATTAACTGATCACTGGTGTAAAACAGATCTACATTTTGATTTAAAATCAGATAAACCCAGACGTTTCCATCTATAAAACAACTGCCTCCTTTATGTTTCTGAATCTACTTGATGTCTGGATGGTCACATGCTTAGTTGGGCTTTTATCTGTTATCACTCCAAACACATGAAAGCAGGCTCTGTACCGAGATCTCCAAAGTGTGCAGCCTCCATGTGACTTGGCTGCTTCTTGAGTATGGCGGTGCGACCGCGGGCGAAGGAGTCCATGTTGGCAGAGATGGCGTTGATGGCCACATGGCTGGGCCCAGCAGCTTCCTGGATAGCATGGTGGTTCCTCAGTCCTAGCGACGGAGAGTGAGGGCTGACTGGAGCTGTGAGAGGAGGACGGAGGGCAGATAACAGGAATTAGGCAGGGGAAGCTTACAATGGTATCAAAGTCCTGAGTGGCCTGAATGTATGACATCAGTGTGGCTGGTATGAAAAGGTCTTTTTAGTGAGGCTTTTTGAAAGAGCTCACAGTTGGTGCACAGCGGCCTCGGGGAGTGGAAGATGTCTGAGAACAGAGACTGCTCAGTGTTCATTAGCCTGTGTGCTTCTTTAATAGCTAGAGGTCACAGTTTTAGTCCTTGGAACAACATAACCAAAAGTGATTAGCATAAAAAGAGCCAACCCAAGCAAAAACTTTTCTGAATCACATCCTTTAAGGGTTTCTGCTATTTTACGAAGTCAAATGTATTTTATGCAATTATTTATCCAATACATACATTTATA